AATAACTTACAAGTTCCTATGCAATAACTTACAAGTTCCACGGTGCATTCCTTCACCGTGACGTCATAAAACATGAACGTTTCTACTGGCTTCTGACTGTCTTTTCAACTTCCGGAAAAGACACTCTACTGATTTCGGTAATATTAATTTCGGCTCGTGACTCAATCTTTACGACCGTTATACGTGCATGGCGCATGAAACTGGAAGGCATGCAAGTTAAGTCTGCGACCGTCACTATTCATTTCCTAAAATGCACAACAATTCATATATACTTTTTATTTTATGGACAATGGTGTTTTACTGGAAACTAAAACACTCGTAGAACTCATACGTCACTACATCCGCGACCAGGTGCGCGTATTTTCCGTATTTCACCCCTTCGAGTGACGTACGAAGTTCGAAAATTTCCCGCCATTTTCATTGTTGTTGTTCTGCGGAAAATACAAATGCTCTTTGGTTCGTATTTAAAACGAAATTAACGTTGTAAATAAAACGAAAACATTCAAAAGACATCTTGAGATAAGTAAAATTTATTCTAGTTTTATGTTTGCACTATCATTTAAAAAAATATCGCTTGTACACTGGTCAGTAGTGATACCCCCCATATGGAGTACAAAGGGATGCCGCCAATGACGTCACATTGCTCCGAAAGTAATTAGTATGCAAACTTAGGTGTCGGAAGTAATTAGCAGGCGGAATCTATGACGCAGCTTTGCTGGCCCTAACCCTAACCCTGGGCCAACTGTGACAGGTAGCGCGACCAATTAACGCGGTGGGCCAACTGTGACAGGTAGCGCGACCAATTAACGAGGGCAGGCCTGGGCCAAACGCGATCAATATTGTACACCAATCAGGTGGGCGGGTCGCGCGGGTGGAAAAGCGGGCTTTGCAGGCAAAAATTTACACAAGATTTCAGTTTTACAATTATTTCTTCAAAATGTTTTAACAAAATTTAGTACGGTCTACTTTTAAGAGCGTAACGTCTAGGTGATTCTTGCTTATCTTCTGGGGATAACCTAACATATCGAATGATATCCTAAGATACTGTATGATACCCTAAGATATCGAATGATATCCTAAGATACTGTATGATATCCTACGATATTGTATGATATCCTAAGATATTGATATCCCAGCTAAGATATTGATATCCTAAGATACTGATATCCTAAGATACTGATATCCTAAGATACTGATATCCTAAGATACTGTATGATATCCTAAGATATCGAATGATATCCTAAGATATCGAATGATATCCTAAGATACTGATATCCTAAGATACTGTATGATATCCTAAGATACTAATATCCTAAGATATGATATCCTAAGATATTGATATTCTAAGATATTGATATCCTAAGATATTGATATCCTAAGATACTGATATCCTAATATACTGATATCCTAAGATACTGTATGATATCTTAAGATACTGTATGATATCCTATATCCCAGCTAAGATATTGATATCCTAAGATACTGAAAGATACTGATATCCTAAGATACTGATATCCTAAGATACTGATATCCTAAGATACTGTATGATATCCTAAGATACTGTATGATATCCTAAGATATCGAATGATATCCTAAGATATCGAATGATATCCTAAGATACTGATATCCTAAGATACTGTATGATATCCTAAGATATGATATCCTAAGATATTGATATCCTAAGATATTGATATCCTAAGATATTGATATCCTAAGATACTGATATCCTAAGATACTGATATCCTAATATACTGATATCCTAAGATACTGTATGATATCCTAAGATACTGTATGATATCCTATATCCCAGCTAAGATATTGATATCCTAAGATACTGAAAGATACTGATATCCTAAGATACTGATATCCTAAGATACTGATATCCTAAGATACTGTATGATATCCTAAGATACTGTATGATATCCTAAGAAATCGAATGATATCCTAAGATACTGTATGATATCCTAAGATGCTGTATGATATCCTAAGATACTGATATCCCAGCTAAGATATTGATATCCTAAGATACTGATATCCTAAGGTACTGATATCCTAAGATACTGATATCCTAAAATATTGATATTTTTGCTTAAGATAAGGTTTTCTCTCCTTGGATTCTAAGCCGTGAACTTGTAAAAGATGTGTACTGATGTTCTTCAAATCAGGCCGACCGCTAAGCGGACAGGTCCGGCAAAATTGCATCTGCATGACTGCTCCGGCAAATGATTCAAGTTTGCATAGAAACACGGTTCTATGTATTGTTGCTTTCAGGAAGAGCTTCTGTAAAGCTTCTGTGAAGCTTCTGTGAAGCTTCTGTGAAGCTTCTGTAAAGCTTCTGTAAAGCTTCTGTGAAGCCAAGCTCGGAGCCAGCTCTTTAGGCTTGGAGCCAGCTCCTTAGGCTCGGAGCCCAGCTCCTTAGGCTCGGAGCCCAGCTCCTTAGGCTCGGAGCAGCTCTTTAGGCT